TTGGTGACCATTTCAAATGTTCTGTGGAGGGATTATCGTGTGGTTCCCACTGACTCAATTTTACGCCACACCGGAAAACAAACGACAATATCCGCCTCTTTGGTATAGCAAATCCGGCTCTGGCTAATTGGTATTTATCTGGTAATATCTGTTTCGGATATGTGTCAAAAGTCTTCAGTCTGTTTTCGTAGTATTCCATTTTCTATTGACACCGAGCCTACGGAGTCAATACACACCATGGATTCTAAATTGTGTGAGGACATATCAGTTTAAAGCTCCTAAAATCTCTGTCAAATTACTCTTTTAACAACTTAATATTAAAAAAAAAATTATTGAAGTCGTACAAAATGTGTTGTTTTTTTCACTATATTAATAATAATTTCAATAAACCAAAAACAAAATATAAACATCTATGAAATTATTACGTCCCAAGTTTCACTCCCAATATATATATATGTACAAAAAATTTACAACAATGGACGGACTTAAAAGGCTTGCAGACACGATTACGTAAGTGTCTTATACTCATTTTATGTATGTACAAATTGCGTGACAAAGGGGCGGGGCCTAGGGGCAGCAGACATGATTATGTAATCACCTGTCAATCATGACCCCAAAGTGGCCCATATGTAGTGCTATTAGCTTATAGACACACTTTCAAATCTGTGCCTAGAACAATTGAGCAATGAATGTAAAGTTTCTTGCTCAAGGAAACCATGACTTGCCCCTGACGAGGTTTGAACCCATGCGGTTTGATTACTAGTCTGAATCATTAACCACTTGGCCATGTTGCCACTTAAGACCCAGTTTTGATATAACAGTATTTTCTTGCGAACTTTAAATGGACCACAATATGTCTCCTTGGTGGAGTAACGTGTTACGTCCTTCTAAATTAAAAAGGAGTTAACCAGTTATTGCACTAAGGTTAGGAATATATTGTATTGTGAAGGATCATTTAAATAACCTCTTGTTGTTTTTTTTAACAATTATTTTACTTTCATTTCTGTTGTACTGTACAAAAGGCGAGATTTAAAATCATAAATATTTTTAGTCGTGTGTTTTTAAGTCTTTTGAACTAACTTATTACCTTTACAATTAATCGGTCCATATTTTGTTACGATAAATCTTATAAAACATTTTTAGGATTAATAATCTTTTAACTAAACTAACTGTGATATTTAACGTGGGATTTAAAAAACAAAACGGATCGTTATTTTTTTTGTAATACGATTTGTAATTTCAGTAATTTGAATCGTATATATGTATACAAACATTAACCGGATTAATTTGTTTATATCGTTCAACCATTACAGGTCGCAACACCTCCGTGGATTATAATTTCATATTTTTATTGAAATTTGTATCCATTTTGAATAGGATCATTTCAATATACTAGGATTGATTTGGATTTGTCATGATTTGTATTGTAACTGGGTGTCAGAGTTCTGACTAATATTTGTATACAATATCATTTCTTTCTTTAATCATTTCAAAAGATTTTCAAAAAACTTAAAATTACATCATATTTATATCATAAATCAGAAATGAGTACATTTTTTATTCTTAAGAATGGACAAACAAATCTTTACAATCTTGTAATAATGGATTTAGTTTGATGACGTGAACATAACTGTAACCCCATGATTTTCACTTAATGTGAAATAATTTTTCATAACAGTAGCAAAATGTAAATAAAGTAGTATTTTGACTTTCGTCGATATAAAAACTGTAGACTACTAAATTCCAAAATGCAAAAGAAGCAAAGAAGATTTTAGCCCATACAAATATACAGTCCAACCTCTACAGAATGACCTTCTGAACTGCAATTACTATACAACATATTGGTATCAATTCTTCCAAAAGTTAAAGAATTCACAATAGATTTAACCTTTCAAAAGGATCGACCCAATCACTGTGACCGTCGCACTGCTAGGAGTATTGTGTATGGTAGGACTGGGAGTAGCACATATAAGGTATACAGCTGTACAACGCCATTGAATATGTATTCTATATGTAGAAATAGGCGTTAAATCAAGTTTTCAAGTTTCAAGTTTCTTTCAAAATGAGACAGCTCTCAGTAACATTTCTCAGAGGGTGTTGCTCTGCAAAGGTTCCTATTAAGCCAAGTGCATTATACCGGTACTTAAGTTTTTCCCTGGTCTATTAAAATTTGCTTCATAAAAGACACAAGATGCACACACATTCATACCGGTCTCTTTAGCCATATTTTTTTCATTACAAATTTGATAAAAGTGCTAAATAGTTAAACTAAATTTATGTTAGATATATACACATTGTAATGATGAAGAAGGAAAAATAAATGCAAGGGAAATAAATGCTGAGCTTGAACAAAAAGTTTCACTAGAGTTACTTGCCTTTACATGAAAACTGGCTAAAACTAGAAGGAATTATTCAATCGGTTTTGAAACTCTTAAAACAACATTGGCTTAATTACAAAGAAATACAAACATGATTGTTACAATGTCGATAAATAAGAACCACTTGTTTAAAATAGGTTTGTATTGTCCTGTCATAAGATGTTACTCGAAATTAGGAAGTGTCAGGTTTTTCTTATCCAGGGGTACAAACTTTTACCTTTATAACTTCACAGTGCACTACCGTTAACAATAGTGATTGCTGCTTTGGGCTTTAAGTGAATTGGTCTATAATGGAAGGGCAGTTAGAATATGATAATAAAAACATTTTAATATGTATAAGTTATCTGCCCTTGAAATGACCTCAAATGAGTAAAAAACTCTGGTTCAAGGGCAAATAACGTGAGAACGGTGACCCCCAAATTTGTTTCACTTAAAATGTTTCTATTATCCCGAAAACGTCTTTAAAGTCCATGATACAGTGTATATAGCTCTCATTTAAATAATTTGATACAACTTGTAAAGCATACCTCTATATTATGACAGACTTCAAATATCAATACCTTCAACCAGCTAATTATTAAAAGGACATCTTATGAACGTAACCAAAAACCAATCGAAGTTTTATATTATATTGTGCTCACAGACTGTGTAATAAGTACACAATTGACAGGTTAATAAAAGGGGACTATAAAATCTGGGAATCTGATAGCATATATAAGATTTCATTTTGTTATTTTTAGATATAAAATGTCTGCAGTATTGTATATAAGTTATGGTATTTAAAGGTAAAAATATAAATAAGTTAAATGTCCCACCTTTATTAGTTTTTCTATTGCCACAAAAGTTGTGACCTTGACCCTTTACCATTTATCTTTTGTTAATCACTTTAACCCACTTTTTCACCCCCCCCCAACAGAAAATTTAAGCCTGAGCATGTTGTTCCAGTCAACATTTCCAGTCAAAGTTTGATTAGTGTTGAAGCAGTTTTTATAGTATTATAGCAATTTGAACTTGTAACGGGAGACTTTTCAATGAACACAGCATTTTTCACAAAAAACTCATGAAGTAATTGGTTAAAAAGAAGAAATGACCTTAACCCAAAGCATTTTACTGATGTGACACATTTTCATGTTCTCTATTATTTTTTCCAGAAACATTTATCTCATCATTTGCTGAATGTACTTTTTTTGTATAAAAATACCCTGGGCTATCTTGTGTCTTTTATCAAGCAAATTTGAATTGGAGATGGACTTAACATTGCTGTATGATGTGGAATGACCATTGTTAAATGCAAGATGACTTACATCTTGGGTCATAAAATATTTTATAATGTACCTCTTCCGGTTAGCTCAATAGTTAGAGCGCTGGACCGTGAAACTGGCAACCGGCTTCAACTCCCTGATGCTGTAGATTACATTCCTTATGATTGATCATGGAATCTTTTCTACAGTCCTCGCACTGTATGTCTGCTCGGGCATGTCAGAAGTTATCAGTTCCTTGCGAAAGTGAAGGCAACAAGTACTGGTAAACTGCTTGACAGCCTGCCCAGAAGTTATCAGTTCCTTGCGAAAGTGAAGGCAACAAGTACTGGTAAACTGCTTGACAGCCTGCCCAGAAGTTATCAGACCTTGCGAAAGTGAAGACAACTAGTACTGGTAAACTGCTTGACAGCCTGCCCAGAAGTTATCAGACCTTGCGAAAGTGAAGGCAACAAGTACTGGTAAACTGCTTGACAGCCTGCCCAGAAGTTATCAGTTCCTTGCAAAAGTGAAGGCAACAAGTACTGGTAAACTGCTTGACAGCCTGCCCAGAAGTTATCAGTTCCTTGCAAAAGTGAAGGCAACAAGTTCTGGTAAACTGCTTGACAGCCTGCCCAGAAGTTATCAGACCTTGCGAAAGTGAAGACAACTGTACTGGTAAACTGCGGCCCTTTTGAACGGCCTGGTGGCCCCAGGTGACGGTTTAAATATCAGAACCTTTGCCGGAAAAAGTGGAAGGAAAAAAAACTATGAACTGGTAAACTGGGCCTTTGAGGACAGGCGGCTGCCCAGAGTTATCAGACTTGCGAGACACAGTGAGGCAACTAAGTACGGTAAACATCCCTGCCTCTCACAGCCTAGACCCAGACAGAAGTTTATCAGTTTCTTTTGTTGGGAAGTTGAGACAACAAAAGTACCGTTAAAAGAAACTGTCGTTGACAGACCTTGCGAGCCCAGAGTTTATTCAGTTCTCGCCTTGGCAATAAGTGAAAGCCAAACTAGCTACTGGTAAACTTAATTTGGGACAGCCCTTTGCCCAGACAGTAATCAGACTTGCGAAAGTGAAGGCAACACCAGTTCTGGTTAAACTGCTTCTTTGGGGGGGGCCAAAAACATGCCCAGAAAACGATGCAGTTTTTGCTGAACTGAGCTTTTCTTTTAAAACACCATAGCACTTGTTTACAAAATTTAAACAAATTAATCAACATTCAATCACATACAATAAAAAAACATAACAACTTCTTCTCCTGACAACTTCTTCTCCTGACAGCATTCTATGTACAAGGCAATTTTTGTTTTCATAAAAATGATAATAAAAAAGAACGATTTTAAGGTGATGTCTTTGAAAGACTTGGAAATTTCATTTTTTTTACCCTGAAAAAGGTTTTTAATTTCATTATACTCGCTGAATTTTTGCGACAGTACTAACAAGACTATGTCATCACTATAGAGCCATGCCAGTCTGAGTGCTATACAAGCAGTTTAACTAAACTCTAAAACTGGCAGATTTTTTTTTCCAGAATTTTTAATATTTTCATCAATTTAAATTTAATCTTCAATCCAGCTGGAACCGAAAGTGATGTCTTTGCCACCAGTATAGAGCCAGGCCAGTCTGCACATCTATGCAGTTTGACCAAAACTCCATACTGTTGGTAGCTCCATTTTTGTATTTTGATTATGAAGTCCCTTTCTATTTCTAAAAGATTGTCCCATTACAGAAACTCACCACATTTAAAGTTTTAGCAAGGTAAGTTAATCTTTTATATATAAAGGTTAGAAAACATTGTTATGATAATGAAGAAAGTTATTTTGATACAGATCTTAAGTAAGTATAAGCTGACTATGTATGGTGTAAATGAGTGACTGATAATTGATTACAAAAACCAAAACAAGTCCAGCAATATTGCAATTAAAAATAAAGGACAAAATAAAGAACAAAAATAAAGAAAATAATAATGCTCAAAGATTACAAAAGTATTATATTCCTTAATTCCTATCTTAATGAAAATCACTAAATTTGTTTGGAAGTTTAAACTTGGAAATAAAATGCAGGAGCACACAACTTCTGAACACATAAGCATGCTTTTAACATTTTTGAAACTATATTTGTCTACTTATTTAAAACTATATTTACTTTTAGTTTCAAATTGCTTTGAAATCTTCTTTGGATGTAAATCAAATTCTTGAAATTAATCAAGTTTCTGGTTCCTTGCATTGGATAATAACCATTGTTGTGACTCCATAGAGAGGGGAACCAATGAGACTTGTATTGATTAGCAAATGTCTTAATTTTTCATCTCAGAAAAACAAAATATTAACAAAACAATCTTAGAACAAAAGGTCTACTGACGCATATACCGTAAATAATAGATACGCAAAAAAATGCATTGAGGTATTGACATTCTTTTATAATTTGGCTTAAATACTTTTTTTAAAATTTCATTCATATCTGAAAACTATACAAATTCAAATAAAAGTAAACCAGTCCCTGGGTTCTCGCTTCTGATTGGCTGTTTTAAAACAAAAATTTAAATCTAATCAAGAAAAATAATAAACAATCATAGACAGGTACAATGTATCAAAATATAACATGTAGCATGTTTGACAAATGTAATAAAGTTTGTAAACCAGTCTGAAAATTATTTTACATCTGATTGGCTAATCCAAAATTATTGTACCCGATCAAAAGGAAGCATTCACTCTTATTTTTTTAGAATACTTCTCATATTGAAGTTTTACAATATATTTTGTTTTGTTTGTTTGTTTCATTTTACGCCTTTTCCCAACAGTATTTCAGTCATATAGGCGGGTAGTTTCCTAACCATCATTCCTGGAGAGTTACACCAGTACTAGACTACCTTCCTCCGTGCTAAACTACCAAAGCATCTCCTGGGGATCGAACCCACACCAGAGAGGTAACTGGATTAGAAGTCATCGACTCTAACCCCTCGGCCACAGAGGCGTAAAATAACAGGTTTAGTGAAACTGATACAACATTTTTCTAAAAAGGAAATCTATCAAACAACTCAATTTTCAAAAATATCTAGCAAACTGAAATATATCAGTATATATAACTATGAATTCAATACATAACCATGAATTTAATATATAACCATGAATTCAATATAATAGTCTTTACAATGGTGGAAACTGATTTTTTGGACACAGTCATAATGTAACACAAATTTCTCTGAAAATGAAATCCTAATAACTGCCATACATTATAAAACAATGGCACATAAAACAAAATTTATCTTATAAATCCATATAAAATCATTAAACACTAATTATTGATAACTGCTCAAAACAGTATTTCTTAAGAGTCATTATAGAATTTAACTTACAGTCAAAACTGTATAAAAGACCATCTTAAACAAGAGCTGTCAATAGGACAGCATGCTAGACTATTCTCAGTTATTGAAAGTAAACCAAAAACCTGGATAATGTAGAATTTTCTATGTTCAAAAATGATAACAATTCTGTCAGATCCATGTTAGAGTTATGGGCCATGAACAGTGACCTTATATTTTCCTTTCAAGTAAGTGTGTGAGTTTTCAACCCACTTACTTTAATAATTTCGGAGATACCAACTTGCATGCAAAAACTTTACCAAAGTGTAAGACTGAAAGCGTCACCGTAGCCTGGTGTGTACAATTATAACTCTTCCTATTCCTTGAATAGTTGAGCTAAAAATCAACATGCAATGAGATGTTATTTGCACTTTGGAATATAACCAAAAAGTCAGTTTAGAAAATTTCTACACTACCACAGACTGCCTTTTAAACAGACAGATTTTACTGTAATTAATGCATTAATGCTATACAACAAAGCATTAATGCTATACAACATTTTTAGCATTTCTTTTTATTTCTTTCTAATGTTTTACCATGGTCCATTTCAGCGTGCATATCACAACAATTGGCAAGAAGAAAATGATGATGTTGAATTCAACAATTAACACAGTAAAAACAAGAACTGGACAGTAATATTCTTTGGCTAATAACTTTGTTACTATAACAACATAAAAATCAGGTTTAGAGAATAAGAGAATAAACACACCGTTTGGGGACTAATGTTACAAAACCTGATGCAACCATGTTCTTTAATTCCATTAGAAACAATCATGTTTGAACCACATTCTCGAGATATTTAATAAAACTAAAACTAATTGCTGAACAAAACACTTTAAAGCAGCACACCTCCAGGCTCATGCTAATTTTCATAAAAATTTGGAAGTACAAATGTATAACTATAGTTTAATTATTATCCTATTTATAACTTGATTACCAAAAAAAAATATTTGCTCCAATTGCTCTGGAGCCCGCATCCATTTCTAGCAAAAATAGTGTCACCAAGCGACACATGGGGAAATGAGCTCGTTACCAAAGTACAGGTTCAAACCCATCATCCCTTGATAGCCGAGACACCGATACCTTACCTATCGGAATACAGTCTACAACCTACATCATATATCAAAATTGAATCAAAAATACAATATGACCCTGTCTTGAAGGACCTTGTTGCAACGATGAAGAGACCATTCATATAGCGAGGTTATTGGAAATATCATTAGCTGAGAACATGTAAATGAAATGCCCTACTTCTAAACTTAGTGTTAACAAAATCTGTAGATGGCTATAGATGTTCATTTTATTCATTATGTTCTATGTAAATAAAGCTCAGAAGGTTTCGTCACTTGCCCATGATGCTTTGCCATGGGCACCTCAGCGTGTGTTACAGGCAAACATATAAATTTGTAAAAGGGCCATAACTCTGGACAAAAACAGGTTGGCCTAAAGGAGCAAATGTTTTAGTCTGCTTTCATCATGTATTCATTCTTGGCTACATTTCTCAGATAAAAAAATTTAAAGACTCCAAACCCTCCAAAAAAGGGTTTTATACTGTACCATCACAATCAAGATGTTATTTTTGTGAAAAATTTTACATCAAAATTATATTAACTCATTGAAATAAACAGAAGAAAAACAGCCCAGAGTAAAACTTACTTAACAATTTAAAAAGAATATATTTTATTTTTTTTGCCTTCCTACATGTATATAACGGGGAAGTAAAATAGTGTCCATTGAAAAATAAGGTCCAACAATGATAAAGGGAGTAAAACACATAACACATTGTCATATTCGATACTTTAACCCATAATCTGCTGAAACTAAGTGATCAGCCTTGCCACCAATACAACCAGGCCAGCCTACAACTGCTCGCAGCCTGACCTGAAGCTCTTTAACGGTTGAACTCAATTTTTTGTATTTTGTATACCCCTCAAATTCAAACGGACTATTCCAAGTCCAAAGTAGGGCAAAACCAATACACAAATTCAGCAAGTTAAGGCAAAGATCTAAATATTAATTTTCATCCCTTAGTCTTTTTAGTATATCTCAAATCTTTACTAGTGACCTCACTAGGAATCTGTACATTATAATTATAAATGCATAAAAAAGAATTTGGCAAACTATATGAAAACAAATTAATCATACCCGAAAAAATAATATATATATATACATTTATTCCAGTTGTACCCATATAGATAACTGTTATAAACATTTCAATAATGAAAGAAAACACATTTTTTCGTAAGCACAAGTTTCATTTTCTCCTTTCGGCATGTAGAACAGTCTCATGGTGCCGTGTAAGAACATTTACAAGATGAAAGGTGGGATTTCAAAACATGGTAAACTCGTAAACTTGCTTTCAAAAAATGTTCACTGAAGCAGAGCTTTTAACCGGCACTTTTAATGCCCAAATGATGACGATGAAAATTTTATACGCATGCACAACTTTTTTTTATTACCACACCACATAATAATTATCATCATGTGGATCATAATTCACACTAAATCCATCATTTAAAACATTTTTTTTTTCAAACTGACTTAAAAACACTTATCAATACATCCAAATGATCCAGATTTAAAACCATATTTCATTCAAGCATTTCACTGACACAGATATTATGAGACTGAGGCTGGACTAGGTGTGTTATTGTCTGACACGTTAGCATCTCCATTTTGTGTATTTGATTCCTTTTCTTTTCCATTAATACTTGTACTAGATTGAAGTCCTGTTGCGAATCTTTTGGTCCACTGTCGCGCAACACGATCATGCTCCTGTCGATTTTGTAAGTACAAAGTAGCGATACTTCCAACAAGAGGATCGCCAGGGTTACAGTCAGTTAAAAGGGAGCAAATCGAGAGAAGCACTTTAGATATGGTCAGAGCCGGTGACCAATTGTCTTTTAGAATGTCTAGGCAAATATTTCCTTGGCTGTTGATGTTACAGTGGTAGATTCGTGTTCTAAACGTCACCTGCAAAAAACAAAATATTGTTATGAAAATTGATATTTAAAATCATGATGACCCTTGTGATAGCTCACCTTATAATCTATTGCTTGACAAGATCAAAGGTTCTAAATTTAATGCAAATATAGATAACTTGGTCATCTTCAAGGTCGCAGTTAAATATTGCACGCAGAAACATACTGAAGATCCATATTTTTATTATGTGTACATAGCAAATCAATACCAAACCGCTTTGCCTATGATTTCTGACTTGAGGTGGGTTGGGTTTTTAAAGAATCTTCATAAAACTAGTAGTGTGGCTATTTATTATTGACTCCTGGATGGCCATGACTTTAACAGATTAACCCTTCTCTCTTTATGTCCAATGACATTTGATTTGCCAACTGACATTTTCTAAATTCTCATTCACTTTATCGATTTTCCCACCCCTAATGTTTATTGTGAAAATTCTGCACATTTCTTACAGAACATATTAATATTTTATTCAAAATCTAAAATATGAGCCTTTTTTGTTATTTTACAAATTAAATTAAAAACTGAAATCAAAGACGGTTGGATTGTGTCCAGTTTCATGTTAACTATTATTCATATTCATAAAATATTAATATTATGCACAAAAACAGGCAAAAACTGAGATTATATAACATTTAACAAAATGAAAATCGTAATTTTATATACTATATTGCATTACTGAATTGTCACCTGTAATAAGATACTGTTTCAACACATAAGTTTTTGCTTTCTCATTTCAACACAAGAGCAATTAAATTGGTTTCTGTAACATTAACTCAAAGCAAGGTTTTAAACCATGAGAAAATTACAATAAAACGACACTTTTTACTAAAATGTACATAAATACAGTCGGCAGTGATGAATAATTAAAATCTGACATATAAATTTCATTTGATTTTTGTAATGACACTGTCAAGGAAAAGTAACTCATGCCAAACTTAACACTATGATTATAAGAATTATCTCCCTTACCAGCTCTTCAATCACCTCTACTAAAATGTTTGCAGTACATACAATATTGATTTGACTTGACTTGATTACAAAAAAAAAATAGGATAGCCACCTGTGGCAAATAAATGTCAGTCAGTGACAGTTCAAAGCTCTGATATAAGTTTGTAAACTATGCATCATTCACAAAACTGTGAAGTATTTATTAACACTTACAATCTTCAGAGATTTGATAAAATATAATGGATTCCTTGAAAGGATATATAATGTTTCGAAATATTAAGTTTATCTGTTTTCATAATAGGGGAACAGTGACAACAATTTTCATGAAAATAACCAAGCTTGCTAGAATTTGCATTATCCTCAGTTTAGTTGGTATTGGGGAAATATTACCAACACTGTTTAAATTTAGAAACATAAAGTCAAGGTCATTTTCAATGTCACAGAATGAAAAAAGAATATTGTACAAGACAGATGTAATATAGAAATAACAAGCAGCACACTATCATTCTTTTTGGTATGCAATTTTTTAATACAAGCAAATGAACGACATCTTGCTTTACCCTGATCTTTCCTATCCTTTTGAAACACCAAACACACGGTCAGACACCCTTTACCCATATTGACCTGCTGAAATTTTCCCTTTTTTGAATTTGTATAGATGTTATCAACAAAAATCTAGCTGCATACAGTGTAGATCTTTCCCATCCTTAATATTAAAACACCAAGGCAAACAAACGGTCAGACACCCTTAAACCATATTGACCTGCCAAAATTTGTGTAATCAGACATTTTAAAGTTTAACTTAAAAAATACAAAAATCGAGCTACATAATTATGTACAGTAAAGATCCAGGGTCCAAGGTTATATTTAAAAAATTTCCTATGTTAATACTAAGATCTCAGGCATTTTATTGGCCAAAAAACAGAATAGAATTGATATTTAATGACCAATGAAAATCCTGAGATTTTTTTTAGACTGAAATTTTATAATCTCCATGCCTTGTCAACCTACATGGATTTGCAGTAATTTTAATTAACCTATTTCTGGCTTGAATGGAAAATGACTGGTCTTTACCCATCAGTATTGAGCCAGGCTGGCCTTTACACCCTTGCAGTCTGTCCTGGCTTTATACAGTTGGTGGCTCAATTTTTGTATTTTGATATTGATATCCTTTAAACATTGAATGGACTGTTCCAAATTCAAAGCTGGACAGGTCCATTGTGAATTCAAAAGGTTTTTTGACCCAGGAGGCTGCATTTAATGTCAGTAATAATTCCCTTGTATATACAGCTATGTCAAAAATGCGAAAACAATCTTGACAAAGTATGTTTACATAGACAATCTATATGTATCTGGTCCTAAAACAAATACCTAACAAAAATATTGATGTTGTTTAACATTACAACATACATATGGAAAATATTTGACTGGCTTAAAACTAGGCCATCAATATTAAAATTGAATAAAATATTTCAACACAAGTTATGAGAAATTTAAATTTTAATATTGCTTATTGCAGATGTAAATGTTACAGAAATATTAGAACATTTTCCAAAAACTAAATTTAATTCTGCAAAATTAAAACTTTTTCATTTTCTCAAATTCTAAGTTCACAATAGTGATTATATACATGTATATATAATTCATTGACGATCCAAGCTTGAGCCAGGACAGTGATGAACAATTATGATATGAAGTTTCAAATGAATACCTTCAAGTGTTGATGAAATATAAACTTGCAAAAATAAAAATCTATGTAAAGGCATGGGTAACCAAGTGTTACATTAATGTCAACATGGCCCACGCGAGCTACCGAGGATAGATTTTCTCTGAATAGGTCAAGCTGATTATAACAAATTTAGCAAGAATTCCGGAACTCTGTACAAGCAATTCTTATCAGAAAAAGCATTTTAAGGTTCTTTATACAGCAATATTATGCCAGACTTTGTCAAACTTTGTTACTTTCTGTGTATTATAATATTAAGCGACAGTTGTTTATAAATAAGAGTAATCCGTTATACTACATATCAATGTCACCTACAGGTGCTCCAACCAGCATGTTTTCGCTTTCCTATAATTTTTTATTAACTTTTTTCTCTTATAAATAAATCAACAAAAGAAGTCATGACAAAAGAGTATAAATGACATTTAGTCTACTCATTAATAAGCCCCTTGCATCAATGATAGTAACTTTTGATTTTGTTTGGAAATTCTCTTCAATACTTTAGAGATCAATAGAAAAAAATTGTTATAACATTTTTCTCCTATATAACCTTAACTCGCAGAATAAAGAAGACCTTTTATTAAGCAGAAAATCACGTAACTTGCCAAAATTTGAATAGAAGTTCTCCAGTTTTCCCTGACGGCACATTTTGCACAAATGAATTATTTCTAGATATTTTGGCGAAGTCTTATCTATGACAATATTCAGAAGACTAAAACACACAATTATAGTTTTGCCTTCAGTTTATGGAAGAAGAAAATCATTGAACACTGTAATCTGTATCACAGCGTCCAACAGTTAGATGGCATCTCGGTGAAAATAATTATAAAACTTGAGAATACTGATAACAGTATTTGATAATGTTTTTTTCTGTTTATATAATATTATGATATTAAAGTTTATATAATATATGATATTATATAAAATAACACATAAGTTTGTGAGTAACAGTAAAAACATCATCCCGAGAAAAATACTGTTATCCCTGGCATTTGTTTGGCTGAGGGCAACATATTTTTTTACAAGGTATGATATGTAAGTTGTTACAAACTTATGTGTAATTTATTTTATCACCCCGAACAAATACTTCATTGGGACTCATGCTTCTATAGGTTTTTATCTTTTACACTTGATTTTAACAATAAAAATATCTCACATTGGCCTATGTGAAATTTAACATTACAAAAATATGGGGGTTACAATAAAATCACATCTGAAGCATAATGCTGGATACTCTGCTTCACCCCAGCTGAAGAAATTACGATTATAAAGAAATGAAATCCTAAGTGACCTTGACCTTTAACATTAACCTTGAAAGATAGCTGAAAAATATGCATACAGACCAAATTTTGATGAGGAAAAGTTTAAATAAAAATAACCTCTGTGACCTTGACCTTATTTACCTTGAATACTGACAAAGGCTAGAAAAATAGTGATAAAATGACAACTATCAAGTTAAAGAAGTCAAATCTATTTATAACATCAGTGACCTTGACCCCATTGACGCAATACCCTCACTAAATATAATTATTTGTGTTTCTAAAATTGGTTCCTAAGTTCGAGCTTAACTATAAGAAACCAGCTTAGTAATTGTGTTTGAACAATATTTTTTCCTGGAATTTTGTTTTGAGCACGAGTCTAATAATAGGCTCCATATATACAAGTATGCTGGGTCTGTTTCACCACTTACATTACTTCAATATTGGCAGCATTTGTGCATCTGTGATTACTGCCAATAATAGTACACCACATTCCTATTTATCTGTTGTTGTTGTTATTTCTCAAACAATTTTTGATTACCGAATATACATTTTCCTACAGACACTGAGACAGCAAAATTGAGTAAGGTAATATTATAATTATGGTTGTCCAATAAGCAATTAATGACCTGAAAATGACATGTTAAGTACAGGTAGGCGAAGAACACAAGAAAATCGGCTATATGTATTTAAGCTCTAGTGATGAATAGTTTAATTTCATAGAAAAAAAGTTATTACTGTAATTGATTGCAAAATTGATTTAGTTAATCAAGATCATTTTCAAGCATTGGTTTTAATTTAAAAAAATTTTCAATGAAACACTTGAAGGACTCGGAGTATAGATTGAGACATAGTTTATTTTATTGGTATTATATTGCACCTTTTATTGGTTTACATACATAATTATGTTACTGAGGTAAACATTTCAATGTATCATTTTACTGTGATATGATACTGAATAAATTAATATACACATTATGTTTATAACGCATTATGTTTATAACGTTTAAGTGTATACATCTGCAGACATTCAAAAATACTTGAATGTATGATACTTTTGCTATGGAATAAAATTTTCAAACCCTATCAACAGTTTTATTGATGTTGTTGTTGGGTTTTTACGTTGCACTGAGCAGAGGTCAGGTGTCCATCTGTGCATTATTCCAAGGCAATAGTCCACCCCAGTAGTCCACGGACACACTAAATAATTGTCAATAACATTAAAGTATTTAAACATTTAACTTGCTGCCTTGATGTTTAAATAAATAATACACTTTCCAGAACTGCTTTAATTCAACCACTGTTGTATTGTTATCTTAATGTCAATGTTTTCAGTTTCCTGGTTCATGGTGTAAAATGAATTTAGTGTAAATACATGGTAAACCAATCTTGCAAAAAATGCAAATTATAACTTCCTGTTCATGTTTTCCCCTTATTATTGTATAATTAATATCTTGGGCATGATTATATACAATACAAAACCAAAAAGTTACAGTGAGGCTAAGTCGTAAATAAGATCCATGTACACAAGAAAATAGAACGTTCAAATTAACACATAAAAACATAATGTAAATTTAAGTCAAAACCATTAAACTGATCATCCTAAATCTCAGTCAACCAGAATAAAACCTTTTGTAAGGATGAGTCTAAGTCAAACCATCTGTAAAGACAAGTCTAAAAGAAGCATATCTGTAAGGAAGAGGATCAGTTTAACCTTTCTGTAAAGACTTGTTTCACTGAAACCTGTCTGTAAAAAAGACAAGTTTCAGTGAAACCTTTATGTAAAGACCAGTTTAAGTGAAACCTTTCTGTAACAACCAGTCTCAGTGAACATTTTTTGTAAGGACCAGTCTCCGAGTGAAACCTTTCTGTAAAGACCAATCTCAGTTAAACCTTTCTGTAAAAACCAGACAGTAAAACCTTTCTGTAAAGACCAGTCTCAGTGAAATTTTTCTGTAAAGAACAGTCTCATTGAAACCTTTCTGTAAAGCCAAGTCTCAGTTCACCTTTCTGTAAAGACCAGTTTCAGTGAAACCTTTCTGTAATGACCAGTGTCAGTGAAACCTTTTTCTAAAGACCAGTCTCAGTAAAACCTTTCTGTAAAGACCAGTCTCAGTGAAAACTTTCTATAAGGAACAGTCTCAGTGAAACCTTTCTGTAAAAACCAGTCTCAGTAAAACCTTTCTGTAGAGACCAGTTTCATTGAAACCTTTCTATAAGGACAAGTCTCAGTAAAACCTTTCTGTATAGACCATTCTCAGTTGAACCTTTATGAAGAGACCCATCTCAGTTGAACCTTTCTGTGAGGACCAATTTCAGTCAAACCTTTCTGTAAGAACCAGTTTCAGTAAAACCTTTCTGTAGAGACCATTCTCAGTTAAACCTTTCTGTAAGGACCAGTCAAAATCAAACCTTCTGTAAGGAACAGTTTCAGTGAAACCTTTCTGTAAGGAACAGTCAAAATCAAACATTTCTGTAAGGAACAGTTTCAGTGAAACCTTTCTGTAAGGAACAGTCTTTAATTATTGTCAAACCTTTCTGTAAAGACCGGAGTCTTAGTGAAACCTTCCTTTAAAGAAACCAATCTGTTTAAACTATCTAATAAACGACCATCTAATTTAAACAAAAATCTATAAGTACAATGCAGTCTCCGTCAATTTCATGCCTTTAACGACCAATCTAATTTAACCTGTCTTTATATCCCAGACTAAGTCAAACCTGTTTGTAAAGACTAGACTTAGTTAATCTGTCTGTTAAGACCAAACCTAGTCAAATCTGTCTGTAAAGACCGGTCAAGTGAAACTGTTCTGTTAAGAGTAGACTTAGTCAAACCTGTCTGTTTAGACCAGACTTAGTCAAACCTTTCTCCGTTAAACCATTGCATCAAGGTATTTTTCAGTTAAACCTGTACTAGTGTTCAAACTTGACTTTTTTTCTTTTATATTTTAAAGTTATGTTGTAGTTTTTGTGTTACACAATGCATATTTAAAGTGAGATTTTTTTTTATTAACAGCCAGCTGTGTTATATAATATTACCTCCTGCCTGAAGTCAGTTAGTCATCCTCACTGTGTGGGAGAAATGTTGAATAATACAGCATTCATTTTAGTTCATTAGTTTTAGAAACAAAGTGGTTTTAAAATGCAACAAAGTATTTTCCTGAGTTATAATGGCGGTCTTCCCCTGAAATTGTTGAATTTTAACTACAAGATTCAAACCTTTCACCCGATGCATTGGTTTAAACAAATTTTATTTGAGCTGTATTGCTAATCAAGTTCTTGCAACTTATATTAATCACTTTTGAGTCCACTTCCTGGAACCAACCAGAACTGGTGTCATATGAAGAAACATGGTTGTGACCCTATCAGGTCTTGAACCCATGATCCTCGGATTGAGAGGCAGACACCTTAACCACTAGGCCACTGCTCATCTGATGCATAGCTTACAGAATAAACATGGACCCTGCTTATCTGTCTATTATGAAATTGTCCAATGTTGTCTGAAGAGACTTCAATAAATAAAACAAGCAACAGTCTAGTCAGAAATTATCATGGGAGCTGGCCTAGTTCTGTTGTTATATCATTGACAAGTCATTTACATAATTAGTATTCTTAGATTATGTTTTGTTGGGGTTTTAAATCACACAGTTACTGTAAAGGTCATATGGCCACTTGACTGATGGAGGAAATATTACCCAGATGCAGAATTGGCATGAGTGGGCAAGCTGGTTGAAACTATATCTCTGATGGTTAGAATGAATCATCAGGTGAAATGTGAAAATATAGTAGAAATGTGAAAATATAATATAGGTGAAATGTGAAAATATAGGTTAAATGTGAAATTATAGCCCTTTGAAGGCTTGAACGGATACTTACCCTCAAGGAAATGTGAAAATATATGTGACAACATATGTGAAAATATAGTCTATTACAACTATACTTTTGTGGCTTACTAAATGTGAAAATGTAGGTGAAATGTAGAAATATAGTATATACTACTATAGATCTGAAGGATTTAAATAACATATCAGGAGGTAAATTGTGAAAATATAGATGAAATGTGAAAATATGGATGAAATGTAAAAATATAGTCTACTGTACCCTATACTTGTTTTAAAGAATATTACCATGGATAAAATGTGAAAATAAACTTTTCTTTGCATAAAATACTTTACCTTTGGTGGTTTGAAGGGATACTCTGAGGTGAAATGTATATCGAGAAAGAAGACTCCGCCTTCGTACACGGTCCCTGGGGGCCCTAGTATAGTTGATACCCATTCAAACAGATTATCTCCCTTTGGTCCAGCACTGAAAATATGCAAAAGAAAAAGTTTTATTTATGAAGATGTAACAAGTCAGGAGATCATTTTTTCACCAACACTATATCTTAAAACATTTTAAAGCAAATAAATAAACTGATAAAACTTAAAAACAAGGAAGTGAAATTCAAACAACCATCGAAAGTTTCGGTGCAATTGCTTACTTAATTTGACATTATAGTGTAATATGACACCACTTATTCCAAAACAATATAATGTTATATGTAATATAATATGAATCAAAACCAAATTTTTATATTCATTGTTATACAATCCAATATCAAATAATACCTTTCTTTTTTGCCCATTTTGAAATAGCTACCATTGGGTCTGTTTTCAAATTGAAACAAGACCTGTCCCCAGACAATAACTTTATTCTTTTTCACAGTGCTAGGTAGGGTAATTCAAGCAACTAATGTCATAAAGGGCATAACTTTGAACAGGTCTAACAATACCATTTTTACTCTAATATATTCACAATATTTGAGTTATTTTTGTCTCTAAACCACATTCATTGGAAAAAAAGCCCCATTTTTCCCGAACTTAAAATCTTTAATTCCCATAATTTTCAATACCCAAGCCATGTTACATAATAAAATATATCAACAAGAAAACATAATTCATTGTGAATTAAACTTGCAAAAAGAAGCCAAACCAGAATTTCGCTATTTAAATTATAACAGTTTGTTTGCCATGGTTTATAAGTGGGGAAAAAAAATCTGTTTTTTTTTTTTGTAAGGTTTCTGTTAACAGTTCGTCAATGTATTGATCGGAACACGCTGCCTCCTAAGATAGCTTAGCTTTCGCGTTCTTCTCCGATTCTCTACAACCGTCTTCTGTTCGAAATCAATGCAATTTAAGTCCATGTCTCGTACTTGTCACATCTTACATAACAAACGTTACATTTTTCTATCTGTTACAACAGTTTCTCTTTTATCCGCCATTAATTTGAAGTAAAATCATGACAGTTCTTTATAAAACAGATTTTCTTCCATTTAATTCTCAGAAAAATGTATTTTCACAGAACTGTTAATGACTATATATATTTAGTTAAGAATGTATATAAGTAATTTAACAATACTTCATCAATTTCAGACAAGTAGAAAATCTATGGAAGTATGATTTTATGAATGGAAGTGAAATGAGCAAAATGTCATGTTACCATGTCAAATCTAATGATATACATGGCACATTAAATGTTGTCTATAAATAATGTAATATTTGTAAAGAATTATCTCCATTGAATTGTAAAAAATGACCAGTCAGTAGTTATTAATGTCATGTAAATCAAATCAGCTCTGTGCCCGGATATATATTTGCCAGTAATAATGCCATGTAAATACATGAAGTACTCTGTCAAGAAATTGTTCCATGTAAATACATGAAGAACTCCGTCAAGAAATTATTCCATGTAAATACATGAAATTATAGTACTCATCAAGAAATTTATAATGCCATGTAAATTGGTAATTTATGTCAGGAAATTTAAAATGCCATGTAAATTGGTAATTTATGTCAGGAAATTTATAATGCCATGTAAATTGGTAATTTATGTCAGGAAATTTATAATGCCATGTAAATTGGTAATTTTTGTCAGGAAATTGATAATGCCAAGTAAATTGGTAATTTATGTCAGGAAATTTATAATGCCATGTAAATTGGTAATCTATGTCAGGAAATTTATAATGCCATGTAAATTGGTAATCTATGTCAGGAAATTTATAATGCCAAGTAAATAGTATTGTGACATCTATGTCAAAAAATTTATTGGGCGATATCACCATGAGTCAACAATGCCATGTAAATAGTAAACATCAATGCCAACCTGTAATCTAGGTTAAACAGGTTTTCTTTGTTAAGCAGGTTTTCTTTGTCAAATCATGTCTATGTTACAATGTCATGCAAATAAATCAAGTAAATGTTTACACATCCCAATACATAATGTAAACTGATAACCTAATAAGAAATTTACTGTAATGTTAAACAACTATGTAACATAATGTCATACAAAAATGGTATAATCTATGTCAACAAATATACATATATATTGATTGTTTAACACTGCTCTACAAATCATATTCTATGTCAAATAATCATGTAAATAAAACCTGATTCATCATAGTTAACATATGCCAAAATGACTGCGACATATGTATCATACATATAAGGCCACATAATTAAATTAAAAGGGAAAGGCATACATGTGAGATTCCCCCGTTCATTCAAAAGTGATGGAAACTTTTTAAATCATTATACAATAATGTCAAAATTGCAATTTAAAGAAATGAATGTCGACATCTTGCGGTTAAAAGATTTAAGTCGAGAAACTGAAGAAAAACAAGAGGGCCATGATGGCCCTGGGGTCGCTCACCTGAACATAGGCCCCCAGGGCGGGGCCAGTTTAAACCAAAGGGCATTTATTTCAACAAACTTGGAAGACACCCATTAGAAGATATTTCATGATGTTAAGTTTTTACTATACACAAATAATGAATAACAATGACTTTTGCCCCCCCCCCCTCTCCCTGGCAGGGCCATTTTTGACCCAAGGGCTTTTATTTGAACAAACTTGGTAAACATCCATTAGAACATGTTTCATGCTAAATATTTTAGCTCTAGCTCTTTTGGTTCTTTAATAGAAGATTTTTAACTTTTTACTCTATGTATATAGGGAAAATCAATAACCCCTGGGACAGGGCCAATTTTGACCCCAGGGCTTTTATTTGAACAAATTTGGTAGACACCCATTAGAACATGTTTCATGCTAAATATCTTAGGTCTAGCTCTTTGGGTTCTTTAAAAGAATTTTTTTAAAGTTTTTACTATATGCATATAGGGAAAATCAATGACCCCTGGGGCGGGCCAATTTTGACCCCAGGGCTTTTATTTGAACAAACTTGGTAGACACTGATAAGAAGATGTTTCATGCTTAATATCTTAGCTCTAGCTCTTTGGGTTTCTTTAAGAGAAGATTTTTTTTAAGTTTTTACTATATGCATATAGGGAAAATCAATAAACCCTGGGACAGGGCCAATTTTGACCCCAAGGGCTTTTATTTGAACAAACTTGGTAGACATCCATAAGAACATGTTTTACGCCAAATATCTAAGCTCTCGCTCTTTGGGTTTTTTAGAAGAAGATTTTTTTAAGTTTTTACTATATGCATATAGGGAAAATCAATGACCCCCTGGGGCGGGGCCAATTTTGACCCCAGGGCTTTTATTTGAACAATCTTGGTAGACACTTATTAGAAGATGTTTTATGCTTAATATCTTAGGTCTAGCTCTTTGGGTTCTTTAAAAGAAGATTTTTTAAAGTTTTTACTATATGCATATAGGAAAAATCAATGACCCCCTGGGGCGGGGCCAATTTTGACCCCAGGGCTTTTATTTGAACAATCTTGGTAGACACTTATTAGAAGATGTTTCATGCTTAATATCTTAGGTCTAGCTCTTTTGGTTCTTTAAAAGAAGATTTTTTTAACTTTTTACTATATGCATATAGGGAAAATCAATGACCCCCTGGGGCGGGGCCAATTTGGACCCCAGGCCTTTTATTTGAACAAACTTGGTAGACATCCATTAGAACATGTTTAATGCCAAATATCTAAGCTCTAGCTCTTTGGGTTTTTTAGAAGATGATTTTTTAAAGTTTTTACTATATGCATATAAGGAAAATCAATGACCCCCTGGGGCGGGGCTAATTTTGACCCCAGGGCTTTTATTTGAACAATCTTGGTAGACACTCATTAGAAGATGTTTCATGCTTAATATCTTAGGTCTAGCTCTTTGGGTTCTTTAAAAGAAGATATTTTTAAGTTTTTACTATATGCATATAGGGAAAATCAATGACCCCCCTGGGGCGGGGCCAATTTTGACCCTAGGGCTTTTATTTGAACAATCTTGTAGACACTTATTAGAAGATGTTTCATGCTTAATATCTTAGGTCTAGCTCTTTGGATTCTTTAAAAGAAGATTTTTTTTAAGTTTTTACTATATGCATATAGGGAAAATCAATGACCCCCTGGGGCGGGGCCAATTTTGACCCAGGGCTTTTATTTGAACAAACTTGGTAGACATCCATTAGAACATGTTTAATGCCAAATATCTAAGCTCTAGCTCTTTGGGTTTTTTAGAAGATGATTTTTTTAAGTTTTTACTATATGCATATAAGGAAAATCAATGACCCCCTGGGGCGGGGCCAATTTTGACCCTAGGGCTTTTATTTGAACAATCTTGGTAGACACTCATTAGAAGATGTTTCATGCTTAATATCTTAGGTCTAGCTCTTTGGGTTCTTTAAAAGAAGATTTTTTTAAGTTTTTACTATATGCATATAGGGAAAATCAATGACCCCCCTGGGGCGGGGCCAATTTTGACCCCAGGGCTTTTATTTGAACAATCTTGTTAGACACTCACTAGAAGATGTTTCATACCAAATATCTAAGCTCTAGCCCTTTGGGTTTTCTAGAAGAAGATGTTTAAAGTTTTTTCTTTTGGTTGCCATGGCAACCAGAGTTCTGCATGGAATGGAATTCTTTGAACAACTTTGTTAAGGCTTCACACAAGGAACATCCCTGTGAAGTTTCATTATGATCTGCCTTATGGTTTCAGAGGAGATGTCGTTTGAAAAGTGTGAACGGACAACGGACGACGTACGACGGACACCGGACGACGGACGAAGAGTGATCCTAATAGCTCACCCTGAGCATATGCTCAGGTGAGCTAAAAAAACGACCATAAAATTACGCTATACCATAATCTTATTGATTTTAAATTTTTTATAAAAATATTTCATCAGATATAGCCAGGGTTCATTCAATTCCTGTTTTTTATAAAAAAAATTGTACCATCACAACATAATATTGTAACATCGGTGTCTGCTTTATATTATCAGACAGCATGTATATAGCAGCTGTTAAGATAGGCAAAACTTCTATAATAATGAAGTCACTTAATTAAAATGACATGTGACAATAATAAACTGTTG